GGCACAGCGTACCAGAGGGCTTTTTCATATTTAAAGGTCAACAACTGATGGTCGACAATAACTGCGACTGTTTCTTCCGCTTACGTAGCAATTTTGTGTCAATTTCTTTTGCCGCTATATGTACGCGACAATATCGAGGAACGTTTGCGCAATTTTTTCATAAAAACTGCCAAAAAATCAATATATCCGCGAGCGGTATTTATTGAACTATATTGTAATATTTCGAAGTGACCGAAATGAGCAATAGCGTCGGGGAAAACGCGACTTATATTTTTAAGCCGAGAGAAGCCGCGAGTTTGAAAAGTCTCTCGCGTTGTATCGTTAATTAAAAGATTAAAGTCTTTTTTAAAAGCCGATACTTTGAAACTGTATTATTAATTACAACTTTATGAGAGTATTGATCTTATTATAATGGAAGAATGATTATATTACGGATTAAAAAGTTGATAGAGAGTCGTTTGTTATTACTTCTTGTTACGCCTCAATTTTCCCAAAATCGGATTAATTATATAAAAAATAAAAATCTTTGTTTATAAAATAAAATTTTCCATTTTATCAAATAATTTGGATTTCGCGACTTCACACGTTACTTTTGCAATTTTACACACAATGCAAAATTAATAATTGATAAGCAAGAGGATACAGTCGAGGAAAAATGTCGGAAAAACGATGAACGTGAAAGCGGCGCATTGAGTCGCTCGACGACTTCAGAGATGGTTTCAACGACTCTGTCGGCGATTGTGCATTTTTCACTTTCTTTCGTGCGAACGGGGTCCATTAATCGTCCGCCATATCCATTCGCTGAAAGGGAGAAGGCCGGCTTAAAAGAGCGCGCTTTTCCTCCTACATCTCGTCGCTGCACACGCGACCTCCTCTCTCGCGGATTTTATAACGGCGCATCTCTCCCGCATCGTTTGACTCTCGCACGGGTGCTCTCTCGTTAATATCGTCGAACGAAAGTAAAAACTTTCGTTCGTCGTTGAATGGCGGTCTCGCGCGCTCGCGCTTCCTAGGAAGAAGATCCGCGATAGTTACGTATTCGAGATCCCATATGTGTAGCCTGTGTGTACCCGAGTCAGGTCGCGACACATTGCTCCAGAGATACTTGTATAATGCTCAACTTTACTTTCAATATGTTGCCAATATACACCTACACGGCGCATTATATCCCGCATATTACAATATTATGTACGGATGCCATTTATCGGTGTACTCTCGAATTACGTACGCGATAATTACGACGGTAAATTAATCCCGATTCTGGGATATATATCTTGGTTCGCGTCAAATTAATCAGAATAAAGTCGAGAAAAATTATTCGCTAGAGACATATCGTTTTAGATATATATGATATATTTTTTTCCGATGACGTATAGAAATCTCTATCTATACGCGTTAGCTTTTGATCTCTTTCATTCTACGTTATATTAAAACACTTTTATGAAATTTTGAGAAATATTGGATCAGTCTTGCAAATAACTGTCCCTCGTATAAAGTTGGAATAACCATTTTATTATTATTCACGTACATAGTTATAATACAATATTCTTTAATTAAATAATATTGGAAAATATTGTCAGATGCAGCTTTCTATTTTATATATACATATTAGTCACGTGCATTTATAAGCTTTCTATTATACATTAGTTAGTTGTCAACGGAAACAGATGATGAAATTACACACGTGCAAACATTGAAATATGAACGTGAACTTTAAATGCAAGTTGAGTAGATGCACGCATATCTGTAAAATAAAAGTGATTATCTGAAAAAGAGAGATAATCGAAGAGTAATTTTAATTTTTCCGTAAATGTCTTACGACTTTTCTTAATAATCACATGAGACTTTCATGGATAACAGGTTGGAGCTGATCAGTTGTTGGCCTACATCTTCAATTTCCTTTTGTTCCCTAATGCGCGGCTTCTCGAATCTCCCTCGAGATTTCCTACTCGAAGGAATTTGATTGATTTGCTACGATTTCCGTTGAATTTCAACGAAGTTCGGTGATACCGCGACTAGAAGCTCCTCCCTACATAGAATAGATATAGATGTTTAAGGACTAAAAGAGAAGATTAGCTCTTGGTCTCGGTGAAAGTACGTCATTACGACGCTCGTCGTGATCGCGTCGTTGGACTTTGCTTAAATTGCATTGGAAATAAGACGCCCATCTGTCGATTTCCACTGTAATTACTGAGGTCTCATCGTGACGAAAACTGTAGGCGGCGAAATCGTGATTGTGGTGACAAAAAGAAAGGGAAATTATTGGATAATTTTACATCCTACAATCCAGCGTTAATCGGAAATTATTTCTGACAAATTTAAACGTCACTAAATTATACATTGAGTCTCCCATTCACTTTGAAAACAAAATAAGATATCACGTCGTGAGATCCTTCATTCGTTTATCAAGATGCATATATATTTTGTAATAGATATTTATTATAGGTATTATTTTTGCAAGATTATCATGTTTAACGCAAATCATTATTAATATTACATTCGTTAATGAATATTTCATGTTTCAGAGAGCTAAGTCAAGATTTATTAAATTTGAATTACAAAAAATTAAAAATCTTTGATTTTGTTATTTTAAAAGTTAATTTTAATATATGTACAAACATTACTTATTGTTAATTTATTAATCATTTTTTTATTTAAACATTTATTTAAAAGCGTATTATTTTCTAGCTTAACTATCTTACGATCAAAATTTTCTCTATATTTTTAATATTCTATAATAAACTGTTTATTCTTTATAATATTAATTAAGTAATTTAATTTCTATTTCTCTTTGCAATCTCTTTGGGTTTGATAAATAGAGCAAAATTCTTGATTTTAAAACTGAAAATATTAATAATAGCATTTTTTTTTAATTGTTCATTTCTTTTTCTATACAAAGCTGACAGTGTAATATTAATCATTAAACTGATAATTAAATATTGATAATTAAACGTGACTAATTAAACTGATAATTAAATATTTTTGATAATATATAATCGCATATAATTATATTAATACATTACGAAATAGAACAATTGCAAGTTGAAATAACTTAGCAGAGATTGACAAATTAAATATTCGCTTAGTTCGATTTTTGATAAATCGTTTTTATCATTAAATATAATTTATTATATATATAGAATAGAAAATGTAAATAGAAAAAAATCGTCTCATCATTGTTCTTCACGACCTCACTTATAACGAAGCCGAAATAGCTCAGTTGGGAGAGCGTTAGACTGAAGATCTAAATGTCCCTGGTTCGATCCCGGGTTTCGGCAAGTTGCTTTTTTTGCATATTAGATATGATCCCGAGATGGAAGTATATTTTATTTTTATTCAGAAAAAAACATTATCTTTTGATTATTTTTTATTTCTTATTTTATGTTTTGTACATGCAAATCTCCTTTTCGCTCTGCACAAATTTTTTATCTTTTTTATATCTTGTCAGTTCATTTTCTTCTTATCTCTCTTACTATATAGTTTATTTCAAATAAAAAAAAATACTTTATTAAATATTTAATTAATTAAATATTCAATATAATTAAATAATAATTTTAATTACAAAATTTACAATTCCGTATATTATCAGATACAGCGTAGGTTGGAGTTTTGGACAAATTGATGTAATAAATTGAAGTAATATCGAGACATAAATAATTATACATGGTTCCCCCACTTGAATCAATTAATTTCCTTAACCTTTCAGTTAAATGTCCTTAAGATCATGTTTAAATAACGGTTATTATTAAATTATTGCGTATATAGAAATCGAGATTTCTCTTTATACTTGTATTCCCTTAATGCTTGTGTAAAGCCGTCGACCTAGCCCCAGGCTCCGATTGTATCGTTCGCGTGAGCAAGGATGCGATTATATCGATAATAATGGTTCTCGATGCAGAAGTCAGCAACGCGTAATTCACGATTCAACGACCTGTTCATTGAGTCGAAATCGGTAAGCTGCGTATACATTCGGCATAACTAAATTATACGCGCAGATTGCAATTAGACACATTCATCGCGCGTTCACGATGAGGCAAGATATTTGACACGACTGACACATGTCGCAACCCATTGTATGTTACAAGTATTAGCATTAAACTTCTCGCACATCTCTAATAGATTTACACAGAGTGTGTTTCAAAATCGGTGTCGTTTTTCTCACGTCTTTCACGAATTCTCTTTGGAAACGTCTTTCTCTTTCCTGTCAACAAGAATATGTCACATACGAAAATATACAGATACCTTTTCAAGCGAATAAAAATAGAAATAATCTATATATATTCTTCTTCTCTTTTAAAATAGATATCATCTGTGTTCGCACGAGAGATCCTCTCTCTCTCTATTTCTAAAATTAATTACAGTTAATAAACACTCGAATTTGCGTTCGAAACAATTTTCGAAGTGACCAAAGTAACTATTTGTTGCGAAATGTCGATAGGTGTGTCCATCAATCATTATCGCGAACTAGAGCGACCGTTCCATACAATATTACTTAACGCTATTGCATATTTATCGTACATAATTATGCGCCCGTTCCACATTCGAGCTCTTCGATCTGGACCCAGATTTCTACGCGCACGCGTTTCCCTCCTGAAATTTCAACTGCCTTCTCTTATCTCTTTGCTTATTACCTCATCGACCGACATAGACCGATATTGCTCACGGCATTCTGCGCCGCTCTCCTGGAACAATTACCTTTTAATTAGATTTCTGTTTCGGAAACACAGAATGTATTTCACAAAGCTGTTCTACACATCGATGCACTATTTTAGCTTCCATTTTATCTGACATTTTACGCTTCAAAAAAAAGCGAAACAGAGGGAGAGAAATACAGCAATCGATTATTTCTATTAATAATTGAATTATTTATAACAACGAGCGAGTTCTTTTCGTTTTATTCTGATTAAAAACATTTTTTATTTTAAATGCGCATGTTATAATAAAATTACGATATTATTATTATATTTGCTCAATAAATTATATTTTAATGTTGTTTGCAGAGTCGTAGCTGGCGATCTACCAAACATGTTGCGCCTCGTGGTCCTTTTCTTTCTATGTAAGTATATTTTAAATTATTATCCATTGCATGTTTACCGTGATATTACACATGCATTTTCGATAACTCAATAATATCAAAGAAACTGTAGCAACAGTCATATTTATTCCAACTGGATTATTTCTCCTATAATGACACAGGACAACAACAAAAATTCCTAAAATATTGCTGTGTTATTTAGATTGTAATATAATTTTAAAGAATAATCAGATTATAAGAACTTTCTTTCTCCCTGAAATTTTTTAAATTTCCAGCTTTTCTATCATGATTTTTTAGATTTATCTAAATTTACCATAATTAAATATATAAAGGTGTGATATTTCAAGAAATAATTTTTTACCAGAGAGAGAGAGAGAGAGAGAGAGAGATAAAGTAAATTTTTAGCAAATTACTATATTATTTTATATCACGTCGAATATTACGTACAAACGCTTCGTTTCATCTACCGATGTAAAAGCAAACGCATATTGATATTAATTAAAGGAACGTCATCAGAGAAACACGAACGTATATCACACACTCGCACACGTAAACTCGTAAGCTTTATCCCTCAATGAATCGATTCATTCGACGACAAATAAACGAAATAAAAGTTCCCGCTTTCGTGCTTGTACCTATTGAGGTCGTTTTCTTTTTATCGTCCTTTATCTTCTTCACGGTTGTCTGGCATTTAAAGGATCGGGGACACAATCGGCGAAATGGCATTTGCGCGCGCACCCTCGCGATGGTCATCGGCCGTCAGTGGTGGACAAACGATTTAATCTCACAATCAGTTCTGGGGGTGTGTATATTTAATAGAGATGTATCGGAGATATATTTGTATTTGTGCAATTTTTCTCTCTTATCGCCACCGCTTATCTATGCTTCGGTGGCCGATAATTATAGACCAATCGCGTAGCTGTACCTCTGACAAGCGTGGGAGCGTCGTGGCATCCTGTCGCGCGTGGATAAAGTCAAGGATTTGCGCTTCCGCGGCGAAGGTGAATCCGACGGAGGGATCGCTCGGGATTTATGGCCGTTTATACTCGTCGGGCTTCTCTCTTCTGCGCCGAGGAGCACGGCGTACAATCTGCGGTACAGGAAGATCGATGTTGTTGACTCACCGACCATTCACGCGGCATTTGTCACCCCGCTTGTCATTGCCTCTATCGTAGAAATATGGAAATTTTATTTGCCTTCTCGGGAAATTTGCGTACAAAAGGCTCTCAGGGAAATCATGGGATGCTTAAAAGCCATGTAAGAGAAAACCGCGTGAGAGGCAATTAAGTTATATTTATTTATTTACAAACCTGATTGTGTGTGTGTTCTCTCGAATAAATCATATTAATAAATAATATATAAATTTATATTATACGCAGCGCTCGTAAAATTATATTGTGCAGCATAATTGATTTAAATTAAAGTTTTATCTGTCATCGAATCTCATTCATTGAATTTCTAGTTTATTTTTCGAAGAGATTAATGTAATTTTAGCTTCCGAAATATGTTAATCAAATAAATTACACTTATCTCTTATTCACCACTGTCATTTTCAAGCTCCTCTTCATCAATACATCAATCCCAGACACTTCTGTCATGATTTGAATGCGTCCTGGAAATCTTTCTTCGTCAGAGTGTTCATCACTGTCCGCTATTTGGTTTGGATATCCTCTACGCTGTCAAATCTTCGACCCTTCATTTTGATTTTTATTTTTGAAGAGAGGAAAAAGCCGGTCAGGAGGAAATGTCTAGCAGAGAAAGCGCGCAAAGAAAAGGGTTTTTCATCACAACACACGTCTCTTGCTAAAACAGTTTTTGGCATTCAGCACAGCATAGTAGTCATTCTTCCCTCTATTCGCCAGATTTGGCTCCTTGCGAATTTTTCGTAATAAACACTCTGACGAAGAAAGATTTTCAGGACGCAAATTATGGCAGCATTAAGATCGATGTGTACGCTGTCACGAGGATTACTTTGAAGGTGAAATAACCCAGGATAAGTGTGATTTGTTTTATTAACATATTTCCGGATCCGTCTTATTTTATATGATAAGATATTAAATAAAAACTTATTAATATAATATTAATAAGTGTCGCGTAAAAAAATTTAGTAATTGAGAAATCAGTTTGGGAAATATTTTATATTTTACATGGTATAAATCATTTTTTCGAATAATGTCATTAATTACAAGTAAGCAAAAAGTAAGTAAAAAATGTAGTAATTGAGAAATCAGTTTGGAAAAGATAGAATATTAATGCAGAAAAGAATATTAAATCTCATTAAGGATATTCGACTTTGTACTTCCGAAAAGAGTTTTCCATAAAATTTCAGGCGCCGCGACGTGTTACTGTCGCAATAACGAAATGGAGAAATATTGGATTAAGTGAAGGACCTACTGAATAACGTTTGAGAAACCTCTCGACACAGCGAAGTAGAAAAGTTCGCAAGACTACTTCGTTGGAAATGCGCGATTCGATATCCGGGACTTAGCGCAAGTATGCGCGGAAAATTTTTCATCGCCGTGAAAGTTCGTCGCTTACCTTACCCTGAAACTTTGCACGTTCTCCACGATCTCGTAGAGAATTTCGCGGAGCAAGTTACGACTTCGTCCTATCACTTTTTACCCATCTTTAGTACTCCGTCGCGCGTCCTAGCATTTTCCAATAACGTTCCGTAGGTATGACTTTATTTTCGATGTCGTTAAGTTTCTTTTTATCTTCTCGCGAGCTTCGGTGGAGTTTCAAGTGCTTGAATCATTGCCAGAATCGATAATGAGGAGCTTACGATTTGAAAAATTTATGTTCCACAATTAATTGTAAAAAAAATATATATTATATTATATATAAATACGAGATTTGCGAACAATTTCTTTTCAAACTATAAATACGTACCGTGAGAAGCATCTTTACGAGAGCGGTGCAAATATTTGTATGCTCGAGATGACGAGGAGTACACGTATAGCACCGCCTGCTTTATTAAATACCACGCGAATTTCTAATACCGGCACGTCAAATGTGCGCAAAACAACAAAGTGGCGATGGCCCCTGAACTCCACCCGAGCTTTTACGTTCTGTTTTATATAACGTGTCACGGGTATCACGCGCTTTCTCTCGATTACAAATCCTTTTACTACTTTTTCCATAGAGTGACAGTTTAATTGAATAGCATAATATTTCCTCAATTTTCAACGGTCCATATCCTTGTAACAATAACTCGCGATTTAAGAGATCTCGATTCAAGAGAAGCAAAGTCAATTTCAAATCAATTGCTACATTTTTGAAGAAGCAAATATTATAATTTAAAAAAAATTTAAGTATAAAAAAGAGCGAGCGTTTTTATAATAAACATTTCGTGTTTTCTTCACTTTCTATATACAGTTATTTTTTCATTTTTGGGATACCCTATATATACAGAAGTAGTAGCATCGATATACTATATATTATATCGTGTATATGTGCATCTCTATACATACATATGCGGTTATATCTCGATACGTATATTCAAAATACTCTTAAAAAAAACCATTTCAGCTTTTTCGTTGAATATGTAAAACGCGCTGGTTCAGGCATAAAACAGAATTGCTCATGAACCGAAATCAATTTTGACAAGTTCGATGTAATGTTTTCTTTCTCACCCTCACTATTTTTTTTTTCGATAAATATATATACGTATGCATCTACGGTCTTGCTCTACGTATAGTTTATCTATGTCGAATAAAGAAAGGAGAGGAAACAATATATATATATATATATATATATATATATATATGCAATCTCTATCATAATACCCGCGGGATTATACGGGCGTATCGATCGTATGCGATCCTGCTGGTATATGCTTTGTCGCTGATAAAGCTTCTTTATTCAACGATGGAAACGGTCTGGACGTTACTGTCGCCCGCCATTTTCACAAGGTTGTAGTACGAATGCACCGGCTATACAAATATATGCTACGGTTTCTATAGAACAGTTTGTGTGTGTGTAGAACATTCGGATTAAAGGCGACCGCGACTCGGTGACCTAATTTCGCACAGGGCGAAACGCATGATTGTTTTAATCCCATCTCTAATTCTCACTTCCGACTTTCAGGTATCGCTGCTACTTACACACCTGGCCATTGCGAGGCAAGGGTAAGTGCATTTGCTTTTGTTTTTTCAATTATTTATTATTACGAGATGCGCAGAATAAAAACGGCATTCTTCTAATGTTTACCTTCGATCGTTTATATCCATTCTCTGCCATTTTTCATCGCGTAATTTTATTTAAAGTAGAATATATCTCTCTTTAAATAACTACTGTATTTGGTTTAATTTTAATTGGCACAAGTATTTATTGATGTAAGAATATAAAAGATGTTTATCTCTCTCATTTTATATATATCAATTTTCTATTTAAACAGTCATAAATAAAGAGAGATCATTTTCGTGTAGTTTTATAACTGAAAGCCCAATTCATATATCAAGGATGAATTTATCTCATGAATATAAAAATCTTTTAATCTTATAAAAATATATCTCTACCTAGATTCCATAAATATTACAATATCTTCCCTTGCGGAATATACTTTTAACTTGAAATTAGATTGGAATATGCCATTCTTATTTAGAGGGCGTCAAATATTCTGACGGGAAAAATAGCCCTGGCTAAGGTGCTGTTTTTTGTTATTTTCGCAACATCTCTTCGCGAATATAAAATTATTTTTGCGTGAATAGGTTAAAAATTTGCCTATTAATTGATGCCTTTGTTTAATTGATTATTTGTTTCCATACATATATATATATATATAATTATATTACATAATTTTTCTTTCTAATCTATTTCGCAAAAAATTATTCTTTTCGTTACAATTGGAAGTTAATTTTATAAATCCGAGATTAATTTTCTAACTAATCTCGATTTTACGCCATTTTCAATCTCTAGTCTCAATTTCATGGAAATGTCATTTAATTTGTTGCACAGTGATAATTTCAGTACAATATACGATATTCCGAGTTTAATATTAAATTTCTGACTTTCGTACAACTCATAAAGTTAGCGCACAGACGATGAAGTCTTTATATACGTATTCGCAAATTATTCTCTTCGCTGTATACATCGACTTTCGAGGATTCGCCGGACGCGCGAAAGCTTTTAATCGATAGTTCGAAAACACCGGTCGGAATATTTATCGTGGATTTTCTCTTAATTTTACGTATAAAGAAGTAGTAGTAAAATCGCGGCCGAACGCGATGTTCTCGTAAATATTCAAGCGGTGCTAATCTTAAGACCCAGCGCGGTTCCAATCATAGACGGCTCTTTGAACGCCTGGAGTTAATTAGGCGGCTAAGTAATTAAAGTCCCTGCGGCCCTTATTTCAAGTAATGCAATCTAACTTTCGTGGAATTCTACGGGAGGGTGTTGGTTGCACAACGCGACGCTTATTGCGACGATTTACGATTCGCGAGTCGATCGATTCGGAAAGAGGGCGTAAAGCTTTGGTGAACGCAAACTTATGCTTCCCTTCGCTTGTCTTTATGTAACGCGGATTTGAAATTACGCGGAAGAGGTCTCGGATCTAATTACAGAGAGAGATAGAGAGTGTGACGATTCTCGCTTCAGGGTAAAATTGCGATGTTAAATTCCCTACGTTCGTCGCTTTGAAGTCGTCGGTAATTGTCGCTCGATAAAGGCGACAATGGTCAATACAACGAAATCGATACAACGAGCTTTTACCGGTTAACCGTGATTTACACGAGGCGTACGCACATAAGGGGGTAACAGAGTGCTCCGGCTGTGTGTACCGAAATTTAATCAAACTTTCGGCGTCCCGTGGGATATATATACGAGTTGTGCAGTATCGAATTTCATCGCGTGTACAGGATATAATGCCGTCCCGTGCGTTTCTCTCTCTCTCGTTTTCGCGTTTTCGTTCGCGTCTCATATGCAGCTTTTCGTTCCACGCACAAAATCGATAGCGCTTAACGCACAACTCGTTCGGGCGTGCAAATGCATAAATTGATTTCTCTAATTATTAACACTTCACGTATACGCCGCGATTCGAATAAATATCCGTGTATATCCCCGAATATCGCGAGGATTCAAGAGAGGGATTTTTTTTACTAGTGGAATATTTCTCTCTTTCTTTATATATATATATATATATATGTATGTATATATATATGAGCTGGCAAACTAAATCCTGGCTTCATTTATTCGTTTCTCGTAAATCGTGAATGGTTATATCGGTCGAAAAAAATTGAGGCAACTGATACGTTGACCGCGCTTCACTTTATCGCTTTCTGATCAAAGTAATTTTGATGTCTAATATTGCTTAAATATTAATTTGGATGAAAAATATTAAGCTGACACAGAAATTGAGACGGAGACAAGTTAAGTGGGCGGACTAATGAGTCGAAGCAAGAAATGTCGTATTTTTGAAAAAGAATAGAAAAGACTCACGTGAATTCTAATAATTAACTCTTCATTACTCTATGACGTTTTTTATTATGCTTGATGTATATGTTACCGTTATGACACCGTTTATTAGTTTTTAAATTCAGAATTTAATCAGCGTTGATAATGATCAAAATATTGACCGAAACGTTCGCTTTGTATTTGTATTTAAAGAGTACTTATGTTTAATTCTTTTTTGTCATCTTTTATTGTAATTCATTATTAGACATTAGATTAAAGAATATTATTTCTATATATGACTTCACTTTTAAACATAATTTGAATTTTTATATTTACTGCTCTTAACAGTCTTTTATCAAATTTATTCTAATAATTAAAAGAGAGATAGATAAATTAAAATAGATAAGGAAAACGAAGTTTACAATTTGAAATGAAGTAGCATACTTTTCGCGAAATTCACCGTATGAAATTCGAGTGCTTTTCCGGAAAGTAGTTTTACGTTCTAAGAATGTATTACGTTGCAGGCATCGCGAGATGTCGAGCATGCGAGACTGCCAGAGTTCCTCACGGAATTGGACCTGTCGAGTCTCGAGGCATCCGAGGAAGACGTCGAAGCGCTGAAGAAAATCGTGAAAAGGCTGGCGCCCGAGAAGAACGGCGAGTACCAAGTTTACCAAGGTTTTCTCAGAACTATCCTACTAACCTCGAGACTACATCGCTAATATTTTCTCTTTTCCGATCTGACTAAAGCGACTCGCTTTTTCTCCCATTGCCAGTCTTCTTCGGTAACGAGGACCTTCTCAAGGAGTGGCTCAAAGGAGCGGGTATTATTATTTTGAGCGTTGGTGCTCCTTTCCTGCACGTTTCATCTTTTTGACGTATCTATTCTGGCGTGGAATTCCTCCCTTCTATCTTTCATCATTTGTTCAAATGCATTTAAACTCTTCTTTATAGAAATCGTTCGGGCAACAAAATTATTCTCCGTAAAACAATTTTAGAATTTTTAAAAATGCATGAGATGCGTGTAATATCATAAATTTATCTACTCTATTTCCGCGCTTATTAATTGCTTACTAATTGCAAAGTTGGATTAAAATTGTAGATAACCGAGGGCGTATATAGTATCATAAATATGGATAAAAACTTATGAATAAATATCTCCTTTGCTCATATCTTCTATCCGAGCATAAAATTAATATTTGTTTATTCCACTTTTTTTGCGGCGTTTCGCCGTGTTATCTTTTCCCATGTATGTATATATGCATTTGCATCATGCACGCTGTATTATTTGTTTCCTGCATGCAAACATAACGTGTACAGTCATGTAAATGCCTCTCGTGCGCTTCTGCAAGATGCATCTGTGTGTAAATGTTTACTGTAAATTTATCGTATATAAAACTCGTTCGGCGAATTTGAAGCATTCCGTATATATATATATATATATCGCACATGCGACACCATTTTCGATCGCCGCATCCGGAAAAGGGAAACGAGAGCACATATCCTCGTCGCGCGCACTTCCAAACCATCTCACTGAAGCGTCAGATATTACGTAAGGGGCCGTGTAAGAGCGAAAGTCATTGAATGCGTGCGAATATCTCGGGGCGATCGGACTGCGTTTCTGTTTTCCCACGAAGTGCAATTTTTCGTTTTACGAACGATTGTGCTTAGGAGGACGTGCTCTTCGTGACTTTCCGCTAAAGTGACAGACTTTCTACGGCCAGGCTTTCGTGCCATCGGCTATTCTAGTACGATCTGTTGTTTCTATAAAACCCGTGACGTAATCGCGCGCCGCGTTATATACGTCCGTCAAATTAAATTTCCGAAATTTCCGCACGCGATACGCGACAGGTAATCTATCGCTCATTTATCATCCCTTCCGCCCGTGAAGTGCCGGATTTTAAATCCCCGATTTATACATCTGGCTCGCTTCAAAGTTCTCGTTTCGCGGTGGAATTTTGCGAAAAAAATCGATGACACGGCGCGTATAAAAGCTCAGGCGATTATATCGGAATATTCATACTTTAGGAGCATGTTCGCGAAAACGTGCGATGGAAAGACCGCGTGTGCACGTTGATATAACACTAAGCGCTATAAAATTTAATAACGCTTCACTTTGTACTCAGACGTGACAGGACAGCCCGGGGTGGATTATCCAGCTCTCACGTCGATTCCAGCCACTTCATTCAGCTGTCGCGGTTTAAGGGGCGGATATTACGCGGATTTAGAGACAAATTGCCAAGTAAGTGACATAGTCGATGGTATTTCGCTCGGCTAAATAGTTTCATTAAAAGTCTCCTAGAAGAGACTCTTGCGCTTAATCACGAATCTATGAAGCTTGAATAAAATTGTGAAAGATATTCAAATCATACATTTTTTCTTGCATTTTAAATTATTTTTATATTATATTTTTATATTAAATTTTTATATTAAATTTTTATATTAAATTTTTATATCAAATTAATATTAAATTTTATATTAAATTATTTTTATATTTACTCGTATAAAGAAAATCGATCCAAGTTGAATAATAATATTTATAGTGTTTTTTTTCTTCTCTTGTGTCCATGAGAGACGTGATATTGATGCCGAGTATGATTTCAGGTATTCCACATCTGCGACAATGGACGGAAGATCTCGTTCCTGTGTCCCAACGGTACCATCTTTCAACAGTCGCAGCTTATATGCGATTGGTGGTTCAAAGTTGACTGCAGCAAATCCACGGAACTGTACGAACAGAGCGCCGAGCAGTTGGCCGAGGAGGAGAAGAAGCGCGCGGACGCGAGGAAGATAAAGTCCGAGTATCATCGCGAGCAGCAGGATAACGCGGATTACTACGAGAATACCCAGAATGTCGATTACGACGGCAGGCAGAATGGCAGGACGAATCCGTACGGTCAGTCCGCCGTCAATCAGAATCAAATTCCGGCGAAGCAAGAGGAATCGAAGTCCGCCCAGAATTTTAGATCGAACAGCAATAGAGATTCCGGTCGTTATTTCCAAGAGAACAGCGCAAACGCGTTGCGAACTAACGAGAAAACCAGCCAAACGTCCGAAAACTTCAATCAGCAGCCGAAGCAACGGCAGTATAACGATGGCTCGAATTATCAGACAAGTAGCAGACAGAGAAATCAGTTGGACAATCAGCAGGGAGGCGGCAAGTCCAATTACGAGCAGGGAAATAATAAGTTCCAGGACACTCGGCAGAATTATCAGAGCAACTCGCAGGACTATCGGACGGATCAGAATACGGCGCGGACCAGCAACGAGAAGCCGGGATTCAGGGGTGGAAAATCGCGAACCTCGACCAGAAACAACCTGTTCGGCTCCAGTCAATCGCAGAAGTCCACGCCGGTCTACATGGAGACGACGACCTTCCGGACGACGACCTCGCCGCCTCCGAAGGAATATCAGCAGTTCGCGGAAAGCGCCGCGTTTGTCTCGAATCGAGGAGGTCGCTTCAACTCGGCCAAATCCGAGAACAACCGGCAGTTCTATTACCATTCGTACGATTATCAGGATCGCACCACCACGGCCGATTATCGCGATCGCGAGACCACCACGTTGAGAAATCAGGAGACCGAGACGGTTTCCTTCACGCCGAAAACGAACGCTCCGGCATTCCCGGGGCCCACCTTCGCTCCCATTTATAAACCCAGAACGACGACGTTGCCGCCTTACGAAACGACGTTGCAATACACGCCGACCACCGAGACGTCCTTCTACACCAGCACTTCCTATTACGAGCAGGACGATACTCCGGAAACCACCGTTTACGGCAACGTCGTGACCGTCACGTCGTCCTCCGTAGATGAATACTCGTCTACGGAGTCCTACAGCGATTTGCAGACGCCTCCCGCGATAGGAAGAGTGCCGCCGCTCACCGGAAATTATCAAAGTCAGCAATACAAAGTGACGAATCAGAGGGACACCGAACGCGACACGGCTTCCTTCGGGACGACGCGTCCGTACGTGAATACGGAGACTAACCGGCAAAACGTACCTGTTAATGTCACGTCGGCCAATTATCAAAATGAGAATAACATAGCGGATCCCTGGCGCGCGTCCTCGCAGAGCTTTCGGCAAAACTCGATCAGCTCGACCGAGAAGCCATGGAAGAGCACGAACGCTTATCAGCCGAACGTGTCCACCAGCAAGACCTTGAGTCCTTATGACACGAGTTTCACTTACAAGCAAGGAAAGGTCCTGTCTACCTTAGGTCCTTACGTACCGTTCACCAAGAATTACGTCTACTCGACGATGACCACGACTCCAACACCAAAGCCATCGGTCACCGCGCCGACTTACGGCTCCACCTTGACCAATTATCGCATAACGGCGAGCAGTCTTTTGCCCAAGACGAAATCTTCACCATCGGTGACGAGTAAGCCTAAAGACAGAGCGACTTACCTGCCCGAGACGAGCAGCAAGCGACCGACGACCTTCGAAGATAGGCCGTACGTCGAACGGGAACACGCGCTTAGCATGTTGCACTCTCTTCAGGGTCTGGAGAACAGCGCGAATGGTCTCAGCGAGCTCGAGAAGAAGAGCGGATCCGATCGGAACCCAGCACCCGGTCCGTCTACCTTGCACTCGTTGGCTCTATACTTCGCCACAGCTAGCGACAATCTCGACTTGAACGAGACTTCCGAGTCCACCGCGAGCGTCGAGAATCGGGAGGTTGAGGAGAAGGAAGATGACCCTAACGAGTCCATCGAATTACCCGTCAACATCCTCACGCAGCACACCATCGCGTCGTACGCCGAGTTGTTCAACTTGAACAACGCGCTCGAGGGAAACGCCACGCTGGCCGAATTCGTGGCGGAAGTCGATAATGTCGCCAGCGAGATCGAGGACGACGACGACGACGAGGACCTTGAAATCGAGCAGAGCGAAGGCCCGTTGAACGGCGCGAAGAGATCGAACAATACCAAGTTGCGCGAGCTGGCCCAGGTCTTCACTCACGCTCTGTCAGCGTACTTGCAGGACCCGGACACCTTCAAGAAGGTCCTCACGGAGATTAGACCCACTCAACCTCCGGTGACGACGACCGACGGCGATCACGACGAGACGACGACGTTGTTCCCGACCACGGCGGAGGAGTACTCCTCGGTGACCAAGGAGAAGGACGAAGTCCTGGACTTCTCGGATGACACGGACGCTTCCAGGAGACGCAAGCCGTCTGTGTTTTCTACCACTTTGCAACCGCCGACGACCACCGATAGATCGTATCTGTCTTATTACACGACGCCGTACGACGATTCAACGGACGAGACCCGCAGACCGATTTACTACCCGAGTACGACGTTATTACCACCCGGCTCGACTTCATCGTACGAATCGGAGGATTATGTGGAAACGTCGACGCAGAGTGGCAACACCTTCGCCTTCGAAGTAAATCGCGCTTTCACCACCACTGCAGGGAACATTCATAATTATGACAGCGATACGAGAGACTCGACCGATCTGTCACCGGTGTACGATAATTATTTCCCATTGGACGAGGACGAAAATCGAAGCAAGGTGCCTCGCAATAATACAGCGAAAACCTTCCAGCCGTACGGCAAGAACGTTAAGCCGAAAGGCGCTACGCCTATAACTAATTACGTGGCGTCGTCGACGCTGGCGTCTTTCCAGCAACCCGCAGGAACGACCTCGTCCGGCTGGGGTAAAGGTTCCGCCGGGGACAAACCGATCCAGGACTTGACGCCGCCTCACTATCAGCGCTTTGGTAACGTGAAGAGCTTCGAGGTATCGAACAGCATCGTGCCGAATCAGATACGTTCGACGACACCTCTGCCGAGGAGCAAATCTTCCTACGATACAGCCAGCACTACCGCTCAACCTTTCAGAATACGATATTACGATTCGACAACGACGTCGCCCGAGGATCGGAAGACCAGCCCCGAGTCCCTCGTCACGGCTCGCAGCTCGTACGTCAAGTATAGGAACAACTACAATCGTATAGAGAACAATCGCGCGGAAGGTAGTCGTACCGGTAAGTCTACCGGGAACCTGGCGACAACCGCGGCAACGACGATCCGAGACAACGTCGGGACCCTGGACCCGATTACCGCGACCGTCAGTGACGTCACTCCGTATACCTCTACCGTTGTTCGCGCTACCTCTGGCAAACCGACCGGCACGTCATCCACTAAACATCCTAGTTCGCTGAATAATGATCACTGGACCTCCTCGCCCATGGTCACCCAGTTATGGGAGACGACGGTGTTCGTGGATCCCCGGCACATCAATCACGGTCTACAGTCCAGCGTGGACGTCGCCAGGTCGCCCACCACCGACAACAGCATCGGCGAAGGAACGGAACGTGCAGCGACCACCGTGAGATCGTTAGCGTTCACCGAGGTAGATCTGGACGGGACCACGGAAGCGAGGACCACCAGCACGCCGAGTCCCTGGCAGTGGGCGACGAACCCTGGGAACGATTCCCCGGTGACGTTCACTCTGCTACCGACGACCTTCACCGCGGAGAACACGGCGACGCCGACGCCGATTATCACGACGCACGCGTCCAGCATCACGACCACGATCACGTCCTCGGTCACGTCGACCAATTCCGTCCCCCGGGATAACCTGGCGTCGACCTTGCTGCCGTTCCCGAACGTGAACGCGTTCAACACCACCGAGAACGAGGTGATCAAGGCGCAGGAGATGTTCGGCAAGCTGAACGAGACGAGTTCCAACACGCTGATGCGAGTCATGAAGCAGGCCGACAGCAACGAGACGGTGAGACAGCTGGTGCTGTTGCTGATAAGTCACTGCAACGCGCCCAAGGACAAGACGACGGAGCAGGAGAAGGAACAGTTGCTGGATGCTCTTCTAAGATTGCCTGTTAATGAGTTCAGTTCCGAAGAGTCGCGGGAGATCGTCGCCGGTATCAGCAGACTTAATCTACCTAGTGGTACGTTATATTAATAATAATTTTGAATATATTTATTTATTTATTAAAATAATTTATAAATTAATTTATTAAAATATTAATTTTAATTCTAGACGTTTTAACATTTTTTATTAAGCAACGATGATGTTTTATTCGAATAAATATCAAATATTAGGAATAGATATTTCATTACTATTGACGATTTATTTTATATGAAATTCTCATAATATTATAAGTATACTGACAATGAAATAGAATTATTGATAGAATTTTTACTATTATGTTATTGATGAATAAGAGTTCTCGACATAATAAATATCTTTTGTTAATTTTAATACGAGATAATAATTTCTATAAGAATTGTAAGAATATAATAGAGAGTATGTGCTCCTCTTCAAAAAGATCAAAGAGAAAATCAATATCAGAATAATATCAAGATTTAAAAAGAGTTTATAGCTTTATTTTTTTCAGGATTTTCTTATATAAATTCCTATTATTATTTTTTATTACTGCATTTCTTAAAACTTTTATTACGAAACATGATTTTATTGTATTTTAATAAAACGATTGCAAAACTTAATATCAAGATACAAAGAGCATTCTGTTCTTTTTATGATGATTTTTTGTAATCATTTCTTTCTTATTATTTCTATAAAATTTGATGCTTGCGAAATATTAGTTTATTAAATATTATTTTATGTAAAAAAGTCCCACATAATTTATTCAATACGATATTTTTTATTTTTACGGTATAGCCCATACCTTTTTGTTTATTTTATCTTTCTGCTTATCAGGTGTAACACAGATAATATTTTCACATAGTAATATTTTTAATATTTATGTTTTCTAAATCGGCCAACAGAGCCAAAGCACGAAAAATTAATTATTCGGAACTGTATCTCTTGATTTGAGATCACAAAGTTCCATATATAAATTAATCTCGAAACTTACATATGGAGAAATAGGCGCGAAAAATTGTGATCTCAAATCAAGAGATACAATAATTTCCGAATAATTAATTTTTCGTGCTTTGGCTCTGTTGGCCGATTTAGAAAACATCATATTCTTTATATTGAGAGCCGATAAAAATATTTATTTCTGATTTTTAATATTATTATTGCAAGATAATAATTTTATTACGGGAAATACAGATAATATTTTAATTGCAGGAAAGACACGAGCGATCATTTTATCGAACTCGACGACGGGTCCGCGGACGTCGTCCTTGAGACCCACGCCGTCCACACCATCCATCACCACGTTCCGCAGCAAGACTGGACGGAAGTTCCGGACGACGACGACGACGACGACGGAGAGCGCTCACAGTTTCGCCAGGAGATCGGATGATGCTGTTCAAACGGACACGAATAATTTCTTAGCGGAAAACGAGACCATCGCGTCCGACAACCGAGCTCTCGAGCTCCTCAGGTCGTTGTACACGATAGCCGCCAAGTGGGGCTGAGGATCCGCAGAATCGACGACCGATCGGAACTACGCGCGTGTCGGAAGACTCGCGAGATGAAGTATTCGAAGACGATCCATCTGTCGATACGTTTCTCGAAGTAGATCGTTGCTGTCGCCGCGTCATTTCGTCTTAGCCTAAATTCGAGGAGGGTTCGTAGAGTGCGAACCTGGTGAATCTCGGTTTTGATCTCGGCCCGTAAATCGACGTGACAAATACGAATGTTTTCTCGAAAGCTACGATATCGCTATTTATTAATGAATAAAGATCCGTAACATGTGATTATATCACTGACTTTGCTATTTTTCAGAAGAACAATTTTTCTTTATAATTATAATGTTATATTCTTATTTTATATACTTGATATATGAGAATTGGAAAATTTCGTCTTATATCTTTGGATCACGGATCGATAATATGCCGCTACGACAGCGAAGTTCGATTTAATTTAGGGCCGAGATTGACACTCGCGCTCGCGGATATTAAGTAGATCGTTGTAACGATTTATCGGATATATTTTATTTCTCAAAATAGAATTTTTTTGTCACGACTGCTTGATACCCGCGATCGAACGTAACTCGTGTCGGTTAATATATGCGGAGTCCCGATCGATCATCGATCGATAAAAATCGCGGTATAACAATTAACCGGCTATAGTTCGACAAGTTAAGATTATTTGTATTTGCCGTCCTTTTTTTATTAAGAATAAAACATCGATCGCCTCGAAATATCGACAACTATTACTTGCAAAAAGAAAAAAAATGCCTGCCATACTCTTCGTCCTTTCTGTTCAGCGACTTTTGCGTGAATGCTACTATCGTGTATGAATAATATTCAATTTAACTCTCTCGTTATCGAGTAATTTTAATTGTTTAGCAAAGTATTTTAATACGTTTTACTTATTTTTAGCATATAATAATTAATTTTTTTCTTACAATAATTTTAATTTCCCATTAATTATATTTGTTGAAAAGTACTCTATCTAAATGTTGAAAAAAATTGATTTTATTTCATCGGTAAACAATTTGATGAAAATTTATGTAATCCTATTTAAATCTATTGGGGCAAATAGTTGAATCTTATTGCTGATATAAGAACATACGAGAGAGACACAGACAGTGATTATTATATTCGAAACGCGATTATGCTCGTGTAAAACAGTGAATGTGCATACCAGCATAAAAGGATTTGTATGACTCGACCGCTCCGCTATTCTCACAATATTGCCAAGTACATTCATCAAATTGCTACTTTGTTGAATAACACGCGAAATTGGCGGAATGTGTGATGGCACGTGGTGAATTGCACCGTACGCTTATGGTTATTCATACCGGTTGGACTTTATATAGGTATACGTAACACAATGTCGTCCTCTCCCCACGTGTCTTTCCAATTTCAGGTCACTTTCCAGATCCTCTTTCGAAATCCGCGCTAATTCACAGGCAGCGTATTAATTCCCGCCAGCGGGATGAAATTGATATTCGCGGGTTGCGTCGTACGAACCCTCATTAACATCTCAGACAAAACTGCCCGTCGAACTGTTGTTACGTTCAGTATTACGAAAAAGACTCCTCTTCTCGAAGAGGATCCGCCCAACATCTCCATCGGCGGATTCGCGAAACTATTTATTCACTCATATATCTTCGCGTAATCGCGATTCCTACGTCCCGGCTAACAGTAAGCTACATTGTATCTTTCTTGAAATTACGGTGTTGGTAACATTCTCTTTCGTTTGGGCATTTCGAGATCGGCGATGCTCCTTCAATCGTCGCGATCCCGAAATGTCCAAACGAGGTTTCTAGGTCATTATTTAAGTACCGCGACTCTTAGCGAATTGTAGCTGTATCGACTTTATGTAATATACCTTTGTACAGTATGTGAATAAATATACAGGGTTTTGTTTACCCATGTTTTACCTGTCAAATGTTCCTTATAGCATTTTTATTGATATATATATATTTCTTTTTTTATACTCGTTATTCTAGGATGAAACCGCTTCACAGTTCATTACCAACATCGTTCTTAAAAGAGTGAACATGTTACATTTATTGCATTAATATATTAAATAATTAATATAATATGTCATTTGATTTTAATTATCTATTAAATATTAAGTTTATTTCTGATATTTATGATACTTCGAACATGTAAACTTTAATTTAGACTTTTAGGATGACTTTTTCGAAATAAACATTTAATTGAAAAATTCTATTTACAAAAATGTAACTGAATATTTTAACATATATTTTAGTAATTTTTTTTACAATACCTTTTATTACGTCAAAAATTTTAATACTTGATATTTCTTGATGAAAGGCCATGTGCCATAAATTAAAAGCTCGCTGTTTATGGCAAGGAAAATATCATTAATAATGATATAAAATACTAATCTAAAAGCCTGAATTAAAATACGGAAATATTTCAATCTTTTAGGAAATTATTTGCGCTCTAAATACATATATAGAGACTGCTGCAGAAATACCAGCACGGCTATGTGAATTCAAGCAGACTAATGAGCGCCAGTTTAATGTTTTGCGGGAGGATCCTTGGAAAAAACAACCACACAGTCGTCGACAATTACACAAACATCGAAAGAATGAAAGGAATTTTCTTCTTTGTCTTTCTCGTCATATATACACTCTTACATCCGGTGATTTGTATAAACTAGAACAACACAAGCGTGATGTACTCGCGCGCAATTCCTTGAATTTATATTAGAAAAATTGATATTAAAAAAAATATATTAATTTAAATTCTATATATCTTTTTAAAAGAAATCAGATAATTAATTTGCCAATTAAATTTTAAAATAATACTACATTTAAAAAATTGAAATAATAATAAGTTTTAAATGATATATTAATTATAATCAGTTAAAGTGAAAAAATATTTTTTTACAGAAATTAAATTAAATTTTTTACACAGTTTTCGTGTAATTCTGAATGTTAGGTCAAGACACCTGATTTTTAATATCTTTCATTATCAAACTGAGGATTATTTCATTCATGGTTTCCCATATCTATCAAGTCCGTTCTTGCATTTTTTAATTAGCTTCAGTCATGAGAGCGATAATTAATTTTTTCCAAATTTTAGATCCCAATTTACATATCCTTATGTTAGGTATTAAAGCGTGATTTTTCTAAATTTTTTATTATTACACAGAAAATAATTTCATTGACGTTTTCCCATATTTAGATAGCTTAATCTCGCACCAAACAGCGAGCGTACAAATTATTTTACTTAATACATATAATAAAATCTGCGCAGTAGAATGTTCACGGAGAGAAATGCTTTTTATTTTTGCAATTTTGCGAATTCTAATATATAATAAGAGATATTTATAATCGAGGTAGGCAATAGAACATTCTTTGAAACTGAATTTAAAAATAATTTAACGTGTATTTCGCAATCGATGGACATCTAATGACATCGTAAAAGTATCGCGAAGAGATTTCCGTAACGCATCATAAAACGTCTGAGAGTTCGTATAATTTCAACTGATCTAACGAAGAGATGAGAGGACACGAGTGTAATATCGCGTGGAATCGCACCGGAGGTCGGAGGTTATTGCAAATGGCTGATTAATATTTCTAAAGATGTACGTTTATACTGTAGTCAGATCGTCGTAAGCAGGATATGCTTTTTTCTGTGAAATGTCACAAAACTATCCTACAAAGACAGATACTTTTTCTCGTTATTATCCCAGTCATTTGCCCCAATTACCCGTTGTTAGAAACGACAAGTCGCAAAGCTTCTAGAAATAAATGGTGAAGATTAAGATAACTGAAAAGAATAAATAATTTTTTGTATTTTTACGACAAGTTATCTTACATTTTTTAACTTAGAATTGTATAAATAAATAATAGATGTATAATTATAGTTTAATAAATTTCTTATTTAAAAATCTTTTAAATAAGATAATATTTATTAATGTCAAGTTATTTTTCTGAATATTTTTAAAAATATGACAGATACTTACAGTTAATTTTCTTTCATGAAAATAATTATTCGAAAATGTCAGGTATTTTTAAATCAAGATTCATTTAAGAAACGATTAAAATAGAACGCGAAGAGATATGCGAAATCATTCTCATAAATGAATCTATATTGGCCAACATTTTAGGCATGGAATCTTTTGAATTCAGGTATATATCTTGTGGCGCAACTTTTGTCTTCGCTGTAATGCGAAAGGACATCCGTTTTCAACAAGACCGAGACCGATTCGCCGTCTCGACGCAATATATTCAAATTAATGTCCGGAGATCGGTATCCGAATGAAGAATTACAAGAGGCAGGAAGAAGATTCTTGCTTCTCCCTTTAAATATTTTTTTCGCAAACGCAAACAAAACCGTCTGGTAAATGTACTTATGCTCGAGTAAACATATTGTACTTATTCATAAAAATGTAATATTTATGATGTAATATTAAAAATATCTAAAAAATCAGATACTTTTTAACGCCACTTCCTATGTATAAATATATCTTTTCTCTTTTAGCTTTTATATAGATATTTATCTTTTAGATTCGAAACGAAAACGTTCTTGTATTAACGAGAGACTTATTTACATAATCATAGGCTGTCAAAATTATTGTTAAAATAAAAATATTTTTAATATAATAATCAAAACATCTAAAAAATCAACCACTTTTGTCTCGACTTTCTATATATAAATATATCTTTTCTCTTTTAGTCTTTATATAGAAATCTATCTTTCAAATTAAAAGAGACAAAACATTTTCGTATTACGAGAGACTTATTTACATAATCATGAGTTGTCAACATTATTGTGAAAAATCTGTCAAGAATATATAAGTATTATGTTCGCCAATAGTCACAATTCTTTTTAAAATAACGTTTTAGGATGACGAGCACATTCAAATACTATGCATTCAAATATAAAGTAATAATAGTCATTATCGGAATAGCAATTTTGCGTAATAGACGGTAACATCGTGTGAACATCCTGTGACTGTTAACAGCGACGAATTACAAACACACAAGATTCTCTGCGATATATGAAAAAAACTCTGTATAAAATAGGAGCAGAAGTAGATCGATATATTATATAATCTGAATCTGTCGCGAGAGAGCGACCGATTTGGAAATTTACTTGCTGGATAAAGAAGGTCAGAATTATTTATTTGTTTCGGAACGACATTAATTTTCTCGCACGTCTAATATTATACACTGACCTAGTCCTTTTCTGGACAGGTTAAAAATTGCGTAAGAATTTCGATTGCGCAACAGTAATAAATATGCATGCTTTTGTAACACTTAACCGTTCCTAATACGAGTTCTTTCTCTAACGATAATTGTTTTAATTGTAATATTTTTACAATTGAAATATTTTTTCTCATTGTTAAATATTTTTTAAACATTTTTATAAATTTAAAAATTTTTTATAAATAAGAAATTTTTTCTCTCGAAAGATATTTATTTCTATTTAGTATAATTGCGCGTTTTTAAATACTAATGCAATAATTAGGAAGCCATTACAATAAATAAACCTTAAAATTGCCTTAGATTATTTTTATAAAAGGGAATAAGAAATGAACTGTCAAATAATTGCTTTTAAATGTCAAACATACGAAAAAATGTAAATAAATCTCGACAGATTTTTCGAACTTTTATACGGTTTTTGTAGCCCATACGGGACATCTGGGATCGAGGCTCTGATTCCAAACGTGGATCTCCCGTCTGTACAATTATCTTCGCGCTCTACTGGTGAGGCGGTAAAAGGTCGTTGTTGATGCAATCGACCACGATATGCCCTGCAGAATACGCGGTTAGATTACGGCGTATTGGCCAATTGCCAGAGCTCAATTAAGACTTTTTAGTTTTACGAGTATTTATCAGCCGCTCGTAACATCGAG